ATAACCTGATTTAGCCTATTAATAAACACTCCACCTTTGCAAGCAAAATAGAAAAAGAATATCATAAATAAGATAAAGTAATAAAAAAGAAAGTTAATAATCAAAAAAGTAAGCCCCACCTCACAGGCTGATGATAGGATGATATGAAAATGGAGCATATCGCCCAACACAATTACACTGTACATCAGCAGCTGATGGCCGGAAGTAGTTATACCTGTTTTTTACAACCTTGAACAATATTGTGCATAACCCCTATTGACCCAATTCTCACTCTCTCACGCCACACCCCCGATTTCTCATGTTGATGGGTCAACCTGGTCGGTTGAATACCTGAAAGATGAGTTTATCTATAGATCTACCTGTTGAGCCACTCGTGATCGACTAGTTTTACCGCAAATTAGTTAAAATATCCTGTAATCTAGTGTGCATGCGGAACTTTGTGGAACAGTATGCGCGTGTAAATGTTTTCGACGCATACGTTACACGTCTCATCCTGATGTCATGTGTCTTTCCGGGATCTTTACGGGTTGTGTGTGAAAGCACTCACAGATCCCGGCAAATCACTGGCAGTGTGAATGAACTGAAATCAAACTATCCCGGGACAAATACCGGGTCACATTATCAGTGTATTTTCCGGAATCTCTGTGTGAAAGGGGCTCAAGTAATCTTGGAGAAATTCTGAGAAATATGCTTTTTATTGTACTTATATTTCAACACTACCTAAATATTGATCCGTTCTCTGATATAGGATGAAAGTAAACAGAGTATTAAGAAACAATTCATTATTTACAAAATGTGAACAATCATATGAGTAGTTTAAGATTAACTTAGTTCAATTTTACTACATGCTTGAAATAATCCATAAGATCAAACAAAGTTATTTTTGACATTTTGTGAACTGTCACTTTTAAGTCATCAATAACAATAATAAAATCAAGAATTTAGTAGTTTAAAAGCACCCAAAAACTCATGTTTGCCCTGTTGTGTAAAGTAGCTTGCCTTAATTTTACCTGAAGATTAGTTCATGAAAAAAATGGTTTATCATTTTAATGTATAAGTCTGTAAACATCATACCTGTTTTTCCATCTTCTTTTCTAGTGAGATGTCCATTAGGAAACCATCATTCTCTTCAATGGCTCCACAAAATTTATACAGTAACTCTTCTGTGGTGCGCGAGGAGAGGATCTGCAAGTAATGATGGCAGGCCAATTCTGACTGTGACGTCATCTTTGTTTCAACTGTTCCTGCAAAGGCGACCTGTTACACAGTATCTGGGTCTGTTTTTTTAACTGAACAAGGCATCGATTTCGTCCATTTTTCGATGGACTGGAAAGAATTGGAAATCTTTTTTTCTTCAACATCTTCCTGAACTGAAGTGAATTGTGTTTCATAACAAGAACAGAAGTTGAATGGAATTTAAGTACCACATATTATAACTGTATTATTTTCATTAATTGTACAGCATCATTTTTGTGTATTGCTTCTCTGTCTAACAGTAAAGTGCTGACTTTTTTATTTATTTAATTTTTTTGTATTTTAAAAGTAAAACTCCATGGACGCTTCTCAATATCCCTCCTCGTCTCCTCGCTCCTCCCTCCTATGACCCGTAAACCGATCGAGCTCAGCCATCTTTAAGGACATCTCAATTCTCTAATTCCACCGTGAGGAGTCGAGGATCGAGGAGTGAGGAGACTTCCAGAGGAGGCATGAGTGAGGATACACAGGTGTATCCTATGCAGAGCTGTTTTATTGACTAAACGTGACGCTCGTGTCAATTCTGCTCCCCTTCACATCGATCACAATCATTTTAATTTATAATTTACCTTTGAAGTTTATATAAACCACACATCTCAGATATTTAAACAGTGTAGCCTTTCTTTATTAATATTCATTATGAATTTATTAAAAAACCAAACTTCAACAACATAAGGGCAGATCCAGCCAGTGATCAAGTATTCCAATGTAAAAAACACTCTTTATAACTTCCTTCAACTGTAAGTTTCGAGCATAGCAGGCTTGTGGGCACTTTCTGAAAAAAAAAAAAGGCATCCCATGTAATTTTATTCTAGAAGGACATTTATATAATATTGTTTTATGTACAGTCTTACAATTGGTTCCACTTGTGTTACAGTTATCAGGTGATGGATTCAACACTGTAAAATGATCAAGTAAATAAATAGTGATTAAGCACATTGTGATTCTGTGCATGAGGATAAACCTTTGTGAAGGTGATATGTTTTTAACATATACTTGTAAATTCAGTTTGAAAATAAAAGTGGTAAAGGAGCACTTGGTCTGTACCATGATGACAGATGAACAAAGTGACTTTTTTGTCAGACATGTCACTTCTTTCATCTGCTCGCATCTGATTGGTCCAATTTCAGTTTGCAATCTCTAACTCAGAACATAACCTGCCCTGGAGCAGGCATGGCAATGAACCCAGCTAACCAAGCCACTTTAATGGTCCAGGATTGGTGCAAACTAAACTTAAACTTACCTGGCTAGCCAGCTAAACCGGCTTCATGGTATAGACCCCCTGATTCAACTCCTGATTTAAATAACTGGCAATTTGCTAAAAACTGATCACAATGTTGGGGAACTCCAAGGAAAATGTTCAGGCAACATTAAAACATTGTGCATGACCATCCTTTATGTCTTACACTATTTAAAAAAAAAAAAACCCAGTAAACACTACATTTTTATCAATGTCAAATGTAATAACTTTTGAAATCTGCTAAATAAAAAAAGGTTTTGAAAGCGATCTTTGCAATAATCTGTTTACTTAATTATAGTTCTTGTTTTCAAAACAAAACAGGCTGCACAAATATTTAATTTAATAAAAAAGACTGCCAATCAATGAGCACTGATAATGGACATGTAATTAAGCATTTGATCACTGCTGAATAGAACCTAAAAAAAAACCCTACAGGGAACATTCCCAGAACGTTCTCCTTAGGTTATAAAATTAAACCTAAAAATAACCTACAGGGAACATTCCCAGAACGTTCCGTTTAGGTTATAAAAATAGAACCTAAAAATAACCTACAGGGAACTTTCTGGGAATGTTCTCCTTAGGTTATAAAATTAAACCTAAAAATAACCAACAGGGAACATTCTGGGAACGTTCCGTTTAGGTTATAAAAATAGAACCTAAAAATTACATACAGGGAACGTTCCTAGAACGTTCTTGTTTGGTTCCCCAAAAAATAACCAAATGGGAACCATACGGGAACGTTAGGGGAACGTTCTGTGTTTGCTGGGTGGCTCGCTGTCACTGTCAATTGGGCTTTCATGGTCTCTAGGTTTTGTAACTGGCTTTGCAGAGATTTTGTGGTCTACAATAACAAACAGTAGTTAGAAACAAGAACCAAATGTTCGATGCACAGCTTCATACACTGCTAACATGCAATACTGAACATCTAAAATTAATTCTACTGATGTCATTACCTTTTGATATCGGCGGGTCAGTGAGATTGCCAAATTGTTAACCTTTTGCTGATTCCAGCGCATGGCCATGAGAGTGAGCATGTCTGCGTCCTGCAAAGACAGAAAATAAGATGTTACCATATTCCTCCAAATTAGTATATAAGGATGTACCTAGTGCAGTATGTCACCTTACCTGCTTTTGACATGTTTTGTGGTCACTGCAATCCTAGAGAGGAAGGCATTGCACTGTTCCACCTCTTCCCCCAGTGTTAGACCAGCCCCATCCTGATATGCCCCACTCCATTTCACCTGGTTAAGAATAATAATTAAAAAAAACAACAACAAAAAAACAGATGTTTGTAGATTTAGATAATACAATTATATCATATAGCAACATTTCCTTACCTCACATTTAAAATCATGGGCTTTGGCATGAAATACCGAAAGGAAAGGCTTCATGTTCAGAAGGTGCTGGAGCTCTGGACAGATTTTCGCAACTCTTTGGAGGGCCAATATTTGCAGGTCACATCCATGCAAAAAAAAGTGATTTGCCTACTGGCCAGCTTTTCTTGCAGGTACAGGGGATAGGCAAAAATTTCCCCCCTATACATATTTAAGGCAGAGAGCAGGACACCGTGCCGACACACCGCAAGCTCCAATCCCTCCTCGTCTACCTTGCTGGCAGATCTTTGTGAGGTCTCTTTGGCTGCTGACCACTCACCTCCACAAACACCTCTTCCACTGACCTACAATAAGGAAAATGGTGGATGAAAATAAGACTCTCCTAAACAAACTCTTCGGAAAGAGGTTTTACAAAATTTTACATGTTTGGTTGTGTTGTGAATGTGGTCCACAAATCTTTTCACGTCTTTATCCTTGGCAATGAAGACGTCTTCAAAGATGGCCTGTTCCTCAGATCTAAAAAAATAAAAAACAACAATTGGTGATGGATAACAATTTATGATAACTTATAATCTGAGATTTCATGGTTCACACATTAAAGAGTTATGTTTTCCTATTAATACAAACAATGTGATACACAGTTTGAAATACCTAGCAGCATTCTTGAAACGATAATGCTTGCGGTTTCCATCAACTGAAACTGCAAGCATTTCAGGGGTGCACGCAGGACAGTTAAAGGGTTCTTCCTTGCACATATTGTCCAACTCAAATCGCACAGCCTCCCACTCAAAAAAACTTTTCAGAAAACTGTCCGCTGAGATCTTGCCAGTCTATTAAAAACAAGGAAACCAACAGCTAATAATGTACAACAAATAAATTAGCATCAAACAGTTTATCAAACCACAACTCAACAAATATCAACAACACTGCAGGATAGATAAATTAAGTACTCACACGACCAAAGCGGACAGTTCGCTGATTCAGCATTCTTAAAAATGCTTGGCAGGACAGTCCTGGTGCCGCCATCTTCATTTCTTCAAATGAAAAAAATACATCTGTGGCATAAACTGTGGCAAATTGAAGGGTTGCAGGCCAGTAGTCACTTCTGTTTAGGTCAGCGACTCCAGAAGTCCAAGTGACTTGGCATGCCTCACAAATTAACTCGGGCATGCTTAGATCATGTTGTCCTGGGAATATCAAAAACACATCCACTGTATGTAAACCAGGATTTGTGTTCTTTGTACAATTTATACATTACTTTAAAAGTTTTATATCAATGTCAAACTTGTAGGTAGTCACGTATGGATATATATTTATTTTTTAAGATGCTTCTTAAACAGGACATAATAAAGTTCTTCACATTCTTATCATTCATTGTGACCACAGCAACAGTCTTTCCTGGACTAACCCTCAATGACTCTGGTGAACAACCACAGATTTTGTCAGGCATCTCCACAGGTACAAGCCGGACTGAAAAAGAACATATGGTACAATTGAATTATGATCAATTTGTATTGACTGAGATTGTAATAGATCAATGGCAATGAAGATAAATCCAAGATAAAACAATAATGGAAAAAAGGCATAATTTAAATAATAAAGCTTATGAGCTTAACTATTCTGAAAATTATACAAACCAGAACTTACCACAATGGGAAAGAGCCTTATCCACCACGTAAGTTGTTGGAGGCAATGGTTGGAAGAATCCAGCAGTCATGGCATCTCTGTTGTGAAGAACATGTCTGGTGTGCATGCTGACGTCACATTCAGCACAGAAGAAGGGACGTGGTCTACAGTCACAACACCGGACAGCCGCTGGATTGCTCCCACACTGTTGGCAGATGTGTGTTGCCACATGTTCCCTTTCCGCAGCCGTGTTTACCAGGCGGGGTCTCTCTGCCCTCCACCTCTCTGAAAAGAGACTTTGTCTTTTGCTCCAGTTTGAGGAAGCCAGAAGAGGATCTCTTGGGGTTTCAAGAGGTGATGCTTCATCACCAGAGAATTCACTTAGTGAGTGTTGGAGATCTTGTAGAAAACACTCTGTAAATGGTATGGAATATTAAAAAAATTCATTCCATGTATGTGTGTATATATATATATATATATATATTTTTTTTTTTACAATATTAAAGTGTACTCAATTTGGCTGTGAAAGGATCAGTATTCTACCAAAATTTAAAGTAGAAACATTTATTTACATTCTAACCCACTGTCATAAATTTCATAAATATCATATATATATATATATATATATATATATATACAAGGGCTAATGGTGACACAATGAAGTACACACCAACAGTCTCTGGAGTAAAGGCCACCTCACAGTTAGGGTCAGGAGCAATGAAGGGAGGATCAGTCTTCCGAATGTGATCAGCTGTAGAGGATAAAAACAACACAAATCAACATTTATAACTTGTCCCAATGCCTGGTTGCCCGCCTAAAATGGTGCAAGATCACTGTTTAACATAGAGCTAGAGAGAAATATTAGTACACTTATTTTCCAAACCCTAATGGGGGAAGTCCAATTACTATTGGTTATCTGCATATAAGGTGTCATATAGATGATGACAGCAAATATGAATCCTTATATAGAAGCAGATTAAAAAGAAACACGTTGGTTGGCAATTGACAACACACTCTGAAGAATAAAGTGTTTCAAACACAGCCTTGCCAAGACCAATAACTTGAAAGAGATTAAGTATGATGGTAAGCAGGCTATCTCATTTGACGTTATATTAACCATTTTGACAAGAATGCCTGACAATGTCAATACAGCCCACAATTAAACTATTTTTTATGCTTTGCAGAAATATCTAATATTAACCTGAATGTGTCTTTCACTTAATCCAAGACTAATGATATCTTTCATTAATCTACTTTTTATGCAAAAAATCAAATGACTGATTCTGGGTTGACTGTTTCCCTGCCATATTACGCTATACATGTATTGTAACATATACACTCATAAGTGGTTAAACAATCTACAATATATCTTGAATGAAAAACAATACTGACCCTTATCTGAATGATTCCTGCTTGATCTTGGCCTCGCATGAACAATATTTCCAGTATTGTCTCTTTTTCTCCAAACCACCCTCGGTTCAGGTGTCTTCACTGGTGCTGCTGCTGCTGCCTCCTCTTCCTGCAGCTCATCAAGAAGGTCATCAAGACTTTGGAGCTCATCTTTCAGTTCTTGGTCATCAACCAAGTTATCCAAGATCATGAGATGATCTTGGATTTCTGAATCACTCTTGGACATTGTGATGGGCAGATACACAAACAGACAGAAAGACTCACAACGAAGAGATGACAGACAAACAAATAAATGTAGAGAGAGAGAGAGAGAGAGAGAGAGAGAGAGAGAGAGAGAGAGCTAGAGAGAGACTGATAAGTGCAGATTAACAAGACAGACGTGGCTCTTAAAAGTGCCTTTGTTTGTGTGTGTGTTTTGTGTGTGTATGTGTGTAAGAATAAAACTCGTTTTAGAAGCTGCCAATTTTGAGGGTCTTAAAGAAAAAACAGAATTGAACATTTTACACCAGTATTCTCTTCATCTGTGTTGCCAGAATGGGCTATATTTTATGTGATATTCATTGTATACAGTTCAATAAACTAGAATTTAATATTGTTAATGACATTTTAGAAAATAATTAGACAAGAAATGTTGTCTAAAATTATATATAATTCATATACGAATCAGTCAATAAGTTATGATATAATTACTTATTACATTAATTATACATTAATTATACGATTTGTTTGGGTGTTAATTATATAATTTTGCGTGGATTTTAAACAAATAGGCTGTAAAACAAACCAATCTGGCAACACCGTTCTTCATCTGAACATTTATAATGTTGAATAACAGTTGTGTGCTAATGTAATACTGAAAACCTTAAAATCTCCACTAGTATTGCCTTACATGATTATTTCATAGGATTATAAACAACAAAATTTGACAAAAACTTTAATTCAATTAACTTTGCTGGCCTGCACATTTGGTGCAGCATCAAGCTATATTTTCATATTGTCTCTTTCCATCATTTACTGTCAAAATAAATTGCCACCTTACACATCTAAAGGTTCTAAACACAACTTCTTGTCCTAATTCAAGAGTTTTTGATGTGTAAATTTAAGAATAGTATCCATCTCTATTAATTAACTCTTCTACTTACCGAGTGGAAAATCGCAATGGACCTCGGGATCTCCCCATACAGTGACGTCAGCGTTATTAATTTAGATGATTTAAAAAAAAATACAAATTTAAATTAAAAAACATTATAATATTTATATAAACATTATATTTATATTTATTAACATAAACAAAACCAGTGGCGGCTCCTGCAAAATCTCTCAGGGGGGGCAAATATTTGGATGATTGATAAGGACAAGGCCCACCCATGCAATGGATAAATTAAGAGCTTAAGCATGTAAAGTCAACTTCACTTTAATATTAATGACAAATAAAGTGACTTAATAACAATAAATCTTCTTGTTTCTATACTCACTATTATTACACTTATTACATCACATTAAAGAGATTCGGCACACAAATTAAGATATTTTTGATTATATCTAAGAGCTGGATCACTCCTCCATACACAGCAAATTCTGGTTTTTGGAATAAACTCCGTTAGTTAAAATCAACTCAATCTGAGTGTACATGTGAGACCATCAAATAGACTCCAGCACAGAGTTAAAATAACTCTGCTCTTGGAGTTGAATTTTTAACACTTTTTCAGAGTTAAAATTTATGGAGTTAAAATACTAAACCTACGGAGAGTAAATGGAACTCTAAAAATAATTATATGAACTCATTACCAGTGTTAAAAAGTAACACTTAAAAAAATATTTAGAGTTAACATTTATTTAACACAATATAATGTTTTGTGTGGAAATTACTGCACTGAACACCATATTCTTGATTTACGTTACTGCCTTTATTTCACTTAGGTAAAGTTGGTTTTATATTCGCATATTCGCACATTCGCGGATTTCCGCGTTCAATAACTCGTGAACTAAACGTTGTTGCTACACAAAACCCATATCACAGATAACTACAGATAAAACGTCTCAGGTTACGACTGTAACCTATGTTCCCTGAGAACAGGGAACGAGACAATACGTCGAATGACGCTATGGGGAACGCCTCAGGCGTGACAGGTGTCTGAAATCAAATATCAACTCACAGTAATCAGGTTGACCGGCGACAGCCCGTGCATCATCAGCTTGAATGATGAGCGCGTCAATCTGGATGTATAAGAAGGGCGCCTTGAAACCGTGACAACATCCTATCGTCTGAAGGGACTGTTGCAGGCAGGCCCCGAGGCATGGCAACGAGACGTATTGTCTCGTTCCCTGTTCTCAGGGAACATAGGTTACAGTCGTAACCTGAGACGTTCCCTTTCGAAGGGAACTCAACAATACGTCGAATGACGCTATGGGGAACGAAATACCCACTCCGCCATGCTGAGGGGAGTGCATGCCGAAAGGCAGTGACAACTGTCAGAACCAGTAATTCCAAGGAACACTGAAACCACTCACCCTATGTTACATCGGGCTGTCAGTGACAGCACTCCCTACCGGTCATAGCCCAAGCTAATGAACCAAGAAAAACCAGAACGTAATAACGTGAGTAAATCAGGGCCAGCTCAAAGGCTTTAGGACCACAACTTTCAAAATAGAAGGGGTCCCTTCTAGGGAGTGTGGCTAGGGGGCCAAGAGACCCCCAGCCAGTCACTATTCAGGAGAACACTCCTCCTGAAATGCCCCCAGGCTGGCCTGGTGATCTGTACTAAGACACACAGTCTGGCCATAGCCTGTCCGTCCAAGACAGAGCCTCTGGAAATTGCCTAGAAAAGGCATCCAAAAACTGAAGGCCCGCGGAGCTGGCGGAAACCATCGAGTTTCGGATCACAGAGACGGGATCCTCCGGAGAGTGTGACTCAACCTCGAACCAATGGGAATCGTACACTCAATCCACCCAGTGCTCGCTTTTGAGCACTGAGGAAGTAAGAGAGGGATCAAAATCAGGAAGGTCAAAGAGACCTAAGACCTGATGACCCCATGTGTGGGGAGCTCCGATACATGAGGGCTCATGTCAGGAAGGCCGTACGTTGTGCGGCCTAAAACCCAACGACCACAGCATGTGGAAGCTCATCCTTCAGGGAAGCCAGAGGCTAGAACCTGACAGACCCACAATGTGGGGCTACCTTCGAAAAAGGTCTAATGAGACCTAAAACCACCAGTTGTGGGAGATAGCTCGAACAAGGGAAGTGCCTGTCGTAATGTATTGCGACAAAGACACATCTAGAGTGGGACCCAAAGTGAAGAACCGGAGTCTGAACCACATAAGAAGGGACCGAAGCATACTGCGCGTGACCCTCACCATAAGAAATGGATTTTGAAAAGTGCACAAGACATCTTGTCGGGTGACTTACCACAATAATAGGTGAAGTATGGGTTTGTGTACTTCACTCTGAATTCAGGAAGGCCTGGTGAGGCCTGTAACCCAGCAACCACAATATGTGGGAGCTCATAACCAGGAAGGCCTGTTGAGGCCTGTAACCTGGCGACCACAGTGTGTGGGAGCTCATGACCAGGAAGGCCTGGTAAGGCCTGAAACCTGGCGACCACATTGGGTGGGAGCTCGTACTCAGGACGGTCAGTGAGACCCAGCCTGGTGACCACAACCTGTGGGAGCTTACTCCACTAAGTGGAAGCTACTTCTTCCAGAAGTTAGCCAGAGAAGGGCGTCCCTGTAGCCAGTGACAGGACGCCACTTAAAGTGGGACCCAAGGGAAGACCGGGGTCTGAGCCACATAAGAAGGGACCGAAGCATACCACGCGTGACCCTTACCATACAAAATGGATTTTAGAAAGTACACAAGACATCCCGTCATGTGATTTACCACAATAATAGGTGAAGTAGGAGTTAGTGTACTTCACTCTGAATTCAGAAAGGCCGAACTTGAGGCCTGTAACCTGGCAGCCACAACAAGTGGGAACCCATAATCAGGAAGGCCTGACAAGGCCTAACACCCGATAGTCCCAATGCATGTGAAGACTCACCACTACAACTTAGCGACCACGAAAAGTGGGGGTTTCACATTCAGGAAGGCCTGGTGAAGCCTGCAACCTGACATGTGACAACTCACAACCAGGAAGGCCAATGAAGCCTGAAGCCTGGTGACCACAGAGTGGGAGCAAAGTGCTCAGGGAAGGTAGTGAGGCTGTAGTCTGGCTACCGCATCATGTGGGAGCCCACATTCAGGAAGGCTGGGCGAGGCCTGTAAACTGACTACCACAGTATGTGGGAACTCATAACCAGGAAGGCCCCTTTGAGGCCTGTGACCTAGCAACCACAATGTGTGGGAGCTCATCACCAGGGAGGCCTGGTGAGGCCTATAACCTGGCAACCACAGTATGTGGGAGCTCATAACCAGGAAGGCCTGGTGAGGCCTGTAACCTGGCGACCACAATGTGTGGGAGCTCATAACCAGGAAGGCCTGGTGAGGCCTATAACCTGGCGACCACAGTATGTGAGAGCTCGTATCCTGGTGACCACAGTATGTGGGAGCTCATAACCAGGAAGGCCTGGTGAAGCCTGTAACCCAGCGACCACAGCATGTGGGAGCTCATAACCAGGAAGGCCTGGTGGGCCTGTAACCTGGCGACCACAGTATGTGGGAGCTCATAACCAGGAAGGCCTGGTGAGGCCTGTAACCCAGCGACCACAACAAGTGGGAGCTCATAACCAGGAAGGCCTGGTGAGGCCTATAACCCGGCGACCACAACAAGTGGGAGCTCATAACCAGGAAGGCCTAGTGAGGCCTGTAACCTGGCAGTCACATTGTTTCCCTCTTGTTCTTTTTTTTTTTTTTTTTTTTTACACATCACCTCGCTCACCATGATCCCCGGCTCTGTACAGGAGACGATTTCTGAAAAAGAAGAGAAACAGAGTCATTGCTTTTTCAAAAACCATTTCCACTATTTTTTACTAATAAACCAGGGAAACAAAGGCGCTCCTAACACCAAAGCTGAGGCGGGCCATCAGAAATTCTTAATTCATCATGGGCCCCACCCCAGGCCTGATGTAGGAAGAGCCTGGGAGCGACGGTGTTAGGAGACAGGATCCAAGAGGCGATGTCTAAGAACGTTTATCCTGCATCACCTCTCTAAGATCCCGCCTCCCGCGGGAGTTTCGTCTCCTGCGCGCCCTGCTCCCCCTATTGGAAGGAGGGGGCGCACGGGAGGCGA